GTCTCAGTATCCGTGGCAGTCCTGATGAAGACCCTCCGGACCCTCAGCTCATGCGTCTGGATAACATGCTCCTGGCAGAGGGCGTGTCTGGGCCAGAGAAAGGGGGCGGGGCATCAGCGGTTGCTGCGGCAACAGCAGCGGTGGGAGTCGGGGCCGACAACTCCATCGAGCACTCGGACTACAGAGCAAAACTCACTCAGATCAGACAGATCTACCACACCGAGCTGGAGAAATACGAGCAGGTCAGGAGAATGATGAACCTGCAGAAACATGAGGAAGAATCACACATCCTAGCACTGCTCGTGATATATGTACTGTTATAGTTTGTTAACTTTTATTTTTTCTATTGTTAATTTTAGTTCAATTTATAGTTATTTTTTAAATATATTAATTTATAAATTAATTTAATGTTTATGTCAGATTTAGTTTTAGTTAAGTTTTTGATGTATTATAAGTTATATTATAAGGTTTATGGTAACTCTTTACAATAAGGTCTCATTAGTTCATATGAACTAACTATGTGAAATATATTTTACATTATTTATTTACCCTTGTTAATGTTTGTTGATAGAAATAATCAATCATGTTCACAGTTCACTAACTAATGTTAACATTATTAGTAAATGTTGAGATTGACATTAACAAAGTTCATTATAGTTCATGTTAAGTAAAAAATGAAACCTTATTGTAAAGTGCTACCAATTTTTCTGTTGTTGTTTGTTTTTTGGTTGTGAGCAATTTGATTAGTTCACTGGCGTGCAGCATGTTTTCATTTTATATTTACTTTAATTTTTAGTAATTTTCTTCAAATATTTTAAAAATATATTTATTTATTTTATTATTATATTGTTATTTTTTTATTTTAATTTAGATAATTTATTTGTATTGTTAGATAAAAAAAAAAAATCCCCAGATTACTAATTTTAATACCAATTTTAGTGCTTAAAATAGTTAGTTGTCAAGGTCATTTTAAAATTTAAATTTTAAATTTTTATTTTATATATTTCCAGATACTATAGTGCCTCAACTCAGTGCTTTTCATCTAATATTTATAATTTATTTTTATTTCAGCTTTATTTCAATAAACAGTTACGAGTCATTTGATTGGTTCACAGGCGTGCAACGAGTTCACGACTCATGTGATGAACCTGTTGAGGGAACAGTCTCGTACGCGACCCATCTCGCCCAAAGAGATCGAGCGCATGGTGAACATCATCCACCGCAAGTTCAGCTCCATCCAGATGCAGCTGAAGCAGAGCACCTGTGAGGCCGTGATGATCCTCAGGTCACGCTTCCTCGACGCCAGGTCAGAAACTCACGCACGTTTCCTTTTAGCTTCACCCAAAACTACTTGCATAACATTTAAAGGACTTTCTAGACTGAGAAAAGCCAGAAAATGTATTTTGGGCTTATGTGGATGAAAGACAACAACTCCCAGAATGCACTTGCTTCGCTCCCCTAGGAGGCCACGCCTACTGGTAACAGAGCGCAGTTGTTAAACAACAACAACAAAAAAATGCTGGGTTGTTTCACCCCAACTTTGGGTCAAATATTGACAAACCCAGCCATTGGGTTACATTTTTGTAAGTACATTTTTAACCCAACGTTTGTGTTTGTCCCAAATTTGTGTTAAAAGTACCCTGCATGTTTTAGAGTGTATATAAACACAAACTTTTACAGTATGTTAGATGAACATATTTTTTCCATCAGCATGTCCCTTCTGGGGCTCCGTAGAATGCGCCATTTCCTTTCCGAGCATAATCTTCGGCTTCGGGCGCATCATTGTAGATAATGCTTGGATTGCTGGTGGTTAGTAAATGAGCCTCAGGGTTTTGCTCTAAAATACAAAGCACAAAACATGATTTTGCCCCTGAGTGACTGTTCTACTTATAATGCACTGTAAATAATAAGCATTTGCTTAATAAAGAAAAATGATTATTGGTTGTGTGTCTGTTTTTGCTCGTGTGGGTTTGTGTGAACGAGTGGGTGATGTGGTGATGGTAAGGTCTTGTGAATCCTCTGTTTGAGTATTTGAGGGATGAGTTGGGTGGGAAATGTGGAAATGTGCCAATTAGTTCCAGTTGGTTGGTCCAGTTACTTAAAGCTAAGAGTAAATTACTGTATGTAGAAATCTGCTCGTCAGAGAATTATTCAAATGCATGCAAATGAAGCAGAACAGCCATTGGTGGGCTCATTGATGACATCATAAAGAGAGAGTGGCTGCTAAGGTCAGATTTAATCTAGTCTCATTGATGACGTTGCATTGCATTTAAATATCATCTAATAAACTGTAAAAATTAATACGCTTTATCAAATCAATAAAATTGTGGCAACAGATTACAAGCAATATTATTAATTAAATTTAACAAATTAGAATTGAGTAATAATCAATCAATAACCGTTTAAAATGAGTAAAGTTTACACCAAAAAAAAATATCTCACTAACAGACAGACGTCAAAGATGAATTAAGAACTCTTTATTTTATATTGTTAACAAGCAGAATCACTGAAACAGGAAAAACGTCATTTTAAAACAAACCTAAAACAAACACCAAAAATTATATGTACTTTTTTTTTGGGTTGTTGTTGTAAGTTTTACTCATTTTAACTTTTAAGGAATTAATTTGATGAATTATTACTCAATTCTGATTTGCTCAATTTAATTAATAATATTGCTTGTAATCTGTTGCCACAATTGTTTTGATTAGATAAAGCGTATTCATTTTTACAGTGACATGTCATTGGTAGATATAGAGTGACGACTGATATTTATATGCATTTTGTGTAAATATCTGCTGTACTTTTATAAAGATCTAATTGATTAAATTACAAGCATCAGAATTTTATCCTACGTTTTGGCCATATCAATATCAGCATCTGCACCAAATTGCATATTTTGCTCTCTGAATATAAAATTGAGGTGTTTTTTGCTCCTCAAGTATGAAATCCATGTTCTCAATATATCATCTGAGCCATAAAAGCGTACACTGAAAAAAATAATATGCTTTATCTAATCAATAAAATTGTGGCAACATATTACAAGCAATATTATTAATTAAATTGTACAAATTAGAATTAATTAGAAAATTAATTTGATTAACTATTACTCAATTCTAATTTGTTAAATTTAATATATAATATTGCTTGTAATCTGTTGCCACAATTTTATTGATTAGATAAAGCATATTCATTTTAACAGTGTAATGCATCAAATATGAGATTCAACAAAACAACACATGCAAACTTTGTTCTTTCGATTTTCCATTCCATCATTTCAGATGTCAGGCTTTACGCTGGGGTTAAGCAAATCAATTGTTTTGGGCCACATCAGGGACCTATAACTTTATTATTATTATTCAATAATACATACTTTATGCTTTATGGTGTAGTTACAGCATCATCATTCAAGCATAATAACCAGCTAAACCTTTAAAACATTGTTTTTATTGATTATTGGTAAAATTCTGTGGTGTTGCTAGTGAGTATCATACTGACTTTAATAACCTTTAGTATATAAAGATATAGAAATGCTTCAGGATCTTACAATTTTTTTGCATTTTAAACTTCTCCAGGAGGAAAAGGCGCAACTTTAGCAAGCAGGCGACGGAGATTTTGAATGAGTATTTCTACTCTCACCTCAGTAACCCGTACCCCAGCGAGGAGGCGAAAGAGGAGCTGGCGAAGAAGTGTGCCATCACCGTGTCGCAGGTGAGTCCAGTTCTCAGACGATACTGCGCACACGAGCCTTCAGCTGCGAAACAAGAGGAGAATTTATTCACAATCTGAGCAAAATCACTAACAAATTTGTTAGCGGTGGTCTGTGACACTGTGAAGGTGCAGAGAATTTGGCTCAAAGTGACATCATCTCCAAACAAATGGGCGTGATTTAGAGAGAGCGCACAGTTTTCTGCAGCATGGATCCTGGAAGTATTTTTCCCATGGCTTTTCTTCATAAAAAAATGTCTAAATAAAGTTTAAATAGAGTTTAAGAATATTTAATCTCACAATTCTGACTTTTTTCCTCAAAATTGTGAGTTTATATCTTGTAATTCTGAGAAAAAAAGATGCAAACGCGCAATTGCGAGAAAAAAAATCAGAATTGTAAGATAAAAAGTCCCAATTACCTTTTTATTTTTTTACTCGGTGGCGGAAACAAGCCTCCATATCCATTCATATTATAAGATATTTTGTATTTTCAGTTGTCGATTCTTATTAATTTTATGTTTTTATTCATTTTTGTTTTTAAAAATTGATTCAATTAATTCATTTTTAGTTTATTTCAGTTTGTTCTTTATTTTCATTTTGTTTAACTTAAGTTCTAATCTCATATTTATTTCTTACTTTTTAATAGTTTTAGGTTAAGTTGTTACTTCAGGATTGTGGGTAATGTACACTGTAAAAAATATTGTTGATTTAACTTCAAAAAAGTAAGTAATTTGGTTGCCTTAAAATTTTAAGTTGATTGAACTGGAAAAAGTGAGTTAATACAATGAAGGCGATTAATTTAACCGTCAGAAACTCAAAATAATAAGCTATCTCAACTAAATAAATTATTTAAGTTGATTTGACAAAAGAAAAAATGTTGTGATAACAAATCTTATTTTTTACAGAGGAAATTTTGCAATTAGTAACAATATTAAGTAGGAATCACACTGACACAGAAGAACTGATTTTTATCTATTTTTTAAATTTTAAATAAAGATTATGTATGTTTTCAGTCTTTCGACTTCTAAATTTCATGTTTAAATCAATGTGTTCCTTGCAGTTTATTTGTAATTGCATCTGACATTTACTAGCAATTGTTTCGAAGCAAGTCCTACACCAAATTTATTTTCAGCGCAGAATCCTATAACACCCTCAGTTTATACATTATGGCATTCTTACTTCCAGAGGCCGACTGTTGCTCTCAAATGAACTTAAAGGGTTAGTTCACCCAAAAATGAAAATGATTACATTAATGACTCTCCCTCGTGTCGTCCCAAGCCCGTAAGACCTTTAAGATATATAGTTTAAGATATTTTAGATTTAGTCCGAGAGCTTTCTGTCTCTCCATTGGAAATGTGTGTCCGGTATACTGTCCTTGTCCAGAAAGGAAATAAAGACATCAAAGTAGTCATGTGACATCAGTGGGTTAGTTACAATGTTTTGAAGCATCGGAAATACATTTCGGTCCAAAAATAACAAGCATTTTATTGTCTCCGGTTCTGTCGTGGATCCGCGTTCAGTGACCTAAAACGCGGCTGACGTGTGTCTGGTGCGGCTGAGCTTCGGTTACAGTCTGAGGGAGACGCTCGCTGTACAAAACAATCTTTACAAACATGTCTAAGGATTTCCACACAGAGGAACACTTGCATTTTTTGGCCCAGAACCCGGAAACACGGTCAGCAGCCAGTGTTGTAGTCGAGACCACCTCACTCGAGTCCGAGTCGACACCGAGACCAGAGAGAGTCGAGTCCGAGTCGAGTCCGAGACCAGAGAGAGTTGAGTCCGAGTCGAGTCCGAGTCGAGTCCGAGACCAGAGAGAGTCGAGTCCGAGTCGAGTCCGAGTCCATAGAGAGTCGAGTCCGAGACCAGAGAGAGTTGAGTCCGAGTCGAGTCCGAGACCAGAGAGAGTTGAGTCCGAGTCGAGTCCGAGACCAGAGAGAGTTGAGTCCGAGTCGAGTCCGAGTCCATAGAGAGTCGAGTCCGAGTCGAGTCCGAGACCAGAGAGAGTCGAGTCCGAGTCGAGACCGAGACCAGAGAGAGTCGAGTCCGAGTCAAGACCGAGTCCAGAGAGAGTCGAGTCCGAGTCGAGACCGAGACCAGAGAGAGTCGAGTCCGAGTCAAGACCGAGTCCATAGAGAGTCGAGTCCGAGTCGAGTCCGAGACCAGAGAGAGTCGAGTCCGAGTCAAGACCGAGACCAGAGAGAGTCGAGTCCGAGTCAAGACCGAGTCCATAGAGAGTCGAGTCCGAGACCAGAGAGAGTCGAGTCCGAGTCAAGACCGAGACCAGAGAGAGTCGAGTCCGAGTCGAGACCGAGACCAGAGAGAGTCGAGTCCGAGTCAAGACCGAGTCCAGAGAGAGTCGAGTCCGAGTCGAGTCCGAGACCAGAGAGAGTCGAGTCCGAGTCAAGACCGAGTCCAGAGAGAGTCGAGTCCGAGTCGAGTCCGAGACCAGAGAGAGTCGAGTCCGAGTCAAGACCGAGTCCATAGAGAGTCGAGTCCGAGACCAGAGAGAGTCGAGTCCGAGTCAAGACTGAGACCAGAGAGAGTCGAGTCCGAGTCGAGTCCGAGACCAGAGACGGTCGAGTCCGAGTCGAGACCGAGACCAGTGAGAGTCGAGTCCGAGTCGAGTCCGAGACCAGAGACGGTCGAGTCCAAGTCGAGACCGAGACCAGAGACGGTCGAGACCGAGACCACTGAGGGTTGATTACCTAATTTACTTTTATTTACTTAGAGAAATCCTTTTTTTTTTTTTTACTAAATTTACTTAGAGTTTAAAAAATATGATCAGTTTAGGGTAAAAAGGCCACATAGTAGGCGGTGTTAAAAGTAATTTTATTACAATTTGTCATGCGCAGTTGCGCACTAGAAAATCACCAATCACTGGGCGTGTCAATCAATTTAAAGAAATATTTTATTCACATACATTAATAATCATGAAAAATATTTTGAATTGAACTCGAGTGGACTCGGGAATAATTCCGAGTCCTAAAAAAACAAATGTTCGAGTACGAGTCAATTCCGAGTCCAAATGGACACGAGTCCATGACAAGACCAAGACCATTAAAATATGGTCTCGAGACCGAGTCCGAGACGAGTCCGAGTCTCGATTACTACAACACTGTCAGCAGCGTCACACAGAACGCGGATCCACAACAGAACCGAAGACAATACAATGCTTGTAATTTTTGGACCAAAATGTATTTCCGATGCTTCAAAACACTGTAACTAATGGTGCGTTCTATTATAGCCAACGAACCGACTCGGACCTCGGATTTGACGTCACGTCCACACTTCAAGCGGTCTATTTGTTTTGCGCGTCCGAGTCGGAGAAAAAAATGGACGCCACCCGGAAAGCTGTTATAATGGTAGCACTGGCCGAGTACCAGGCACTTACATAAAAAAAATAAATAAATATTATGACTACACCTTATTAAAACGCAGCCATTTGAACTTGAAAAGGTTTATGTTTATAAAATGTCAGCCATTTGAACTTGAATACTTTATGTTAATCTTCTGTTAGCAACGCTAGGAACGTCAGTAATTGCACTCACAACAACCGATTCCCATACCTACAGGGGACGCAGTAATACGAGTGATTACAACCGTCATTTAAAATACCAAAGCGGTTCAAAAACGATGAAAACAATTCATTCTTACAAGTCACAGGGCGCAGCCATCTTGAATTCCGAAACGGAATTCTTGCTCGGCGTCCTCACGGTTGTCCGACGTCCGAGAGGAGAAATCCGAGGAAAGGGGGCGTGTTGCTAGGCAACGTCTGTCGTCCGATTCGGATCTCCGAGACGGATGAATAATAGAACGCACCATAACCCACTGATGTCACATGACTACTTTGATGATGTCTTTATTTACTTTCTGGACAAGGACAGTATACCGTACACACATTTCCAACGGAGCGACAGAAAACTCTCGGACTAAATCTAAAATATGAAGATGAACGGGCTTAATGACTCATTAATGACATCATTTTCATTTTTAGGTGAACTAACCCTTTAATTAAATGATGAACGTCTATCCTTTATTCAGCCTGTTTAATGGGAGCGGGTGTTGTTTGTGTAATGGATGGGTGTGTGGGGTGTACAGGAAGTCGTTACTGTAAAAAAAAGCCCCTTCTTTTTGTGCCCTTAGGGGAAGGGAAGCACCATCACTGTGTCACAGGTATGTCACTAAAACACGCGTCCGTCTGTCCTGTGTGTTGTCTGTGGATGTCTCTGTGTACTGAACGACGCTCATACGTTTCCTCGCCACTGGGAACCGTTACATGCCTTTTTGCACTTGGATCATGTCCTCTGGCTGTCTTTTATTGGCTCCCGAGATTATGACATCAGCGAGGCGTTTTTATTGCGCATCTTCAACCGTTCCGCCTCCCGTCGGCAGTTTAAAGCCTGTTTGGAGACATTTTATGAAGGAGCCATTGCTCGGGGTGGATGTGATTTTAATATGTCTGGGTTTGTAGCAACGTCAATATTCTTTTGCAAAAGGTTGGTCCGTTTACAACCGTATGAGAATCACAGTCGCCGTAAAACACGTATAAACATGGTTTTCGGAGAACCTGTAAATGTTTTGTTTGCTGCATATATTTCATTGGACTATTATAAATGCGACAGGTAAATGTCATGAAAAGTGTCGGGAACGTGTCTGGGTGACTTTTTTTTTTTCCAGTGTGGTAGAAATGTTTTATTCATTTTCATTGAAATAAATGTCGCAATACAAAAAGAGGCTTCATTCTCTTTATGCAAAGCACTAGTTTGGAATAATTAAAACAGGACAATTAAATTAAATGAACATATCAAGGCTGCATTTATTTAACAGTAACATTGAGAAATATTATTACAATAATAACCGTTTTAAAATGTAAACCATAGAACCATTATTAATAATAAGCACAAATCATCATATTAGAGTGATTTCGGTAACACTTTAACACTTTACGAACCATGAGCAATACATTTGTTACTGTATTTGTTAATCTTTGTTGATGTTAGTTAATAAAAATAAAGCTGTTCATTGTTTGTTCACGTTAGTTCAAGATTTGAATAAAGTATTAGTAAATATTGAAAGTAACATTTACAAAGATTAATAAATGCTGTATAATTCATTATTAGGTCATGCTAACTAATGTAGTTAACTAATGAACCTTATTGTAAAGTAATGAGTAATGATGCAGAAAATACAGCTTTGATCAAAGGAATAAATTACGTTTTAAAATATATTCACACAGTAAACAGTTATTTTAAATTGTAATAATATTTCACAATTTTTACTGTATTTTTGACCAAATAAACACAGCCTTGGTGAGCAGAAAACGCATAAAACAATCATTGCAACATCAAACTTGTGAATGCTAGTGTATATTTTTTGATTTTGGGATTAAAAATGATATTTTATAATGTATAATATAGCATTTCCTCATGAGATTCATCCACATTTGCCTCTCTCTTGCTCTCAGGTGTCGAACTGGTTCGGTAATAAACGTATTCGCTATAAGAAGAACATTGGTAAATTTCAGGAAGAGGCGAATCTGTACGCTGCGAAGACAGCAGTGACGGCGACTCAGGCCGTAGCGGCCGCTGTACACAACAGCCAGACCAACTCGCCCGCAACGCCCAGCTCTGGTACACACACACGCTCTATGGACGAGACCACCGGGGCTAGTTGTCACAAATGTTTTGAGTCCATGTACATAAATACTTGCTTTCTTTAGAAGTAGTTTAGCATGTTGGTTTCAAATATAAACCTTTGTTGCCCAAATCAGTGGTATCCTTAAATTAATTGGCACTTAAATAACCCACTGTGATGTGACACATGTCCTGCTATAGGGGTCAGCGAGTGTTAAATGAACTGTATCTTTTGAGTGCACATATTTAATAGCTTTTTTTGTAGCCAGAACTTTAAAGGTTTGTGTCTCTACAAAGAAAACAAAGCCCTATGAAGCATTTTCTTGTGTAAAAATTGTGACAACTTGCCCCGCTCTCCCCTATATTGCATATACAGCAGATCTAGTCTAATTATTTGAAATGAGTCATTTAAGAGTTGTGTCATTTTCTCCTCAGGTTTTCAGATGAAAGATGAAGACTTTCAATTGGATGCAACAGAAGATAAAAACAACCTGTTAAACAACATTTTCACTGGTACGACTTGAAGACACTTCCTCCGTCTCTGTGTGCATATACAGTGTGACCCCAAAATCATCCATTTGGATCATTATTTTAACCCTGTAAATTAAACCTTTAGACAAAAAAAAGTTTAGTATCATAGAGGATCATCATATCTGATACTGTTCATATAGTGTCGCACGTGGAACTCATACTTGAGGATAAAAAATACCTCAATGTCATTCAAAAATGCGCATTTTTGTAATTTTTGGTGCAAAATGGAGATATTTATATGGCCAGAAAGTAACAGTGCAAAGCTGACTACTTAAAAACGCATATAGTCGTCTATATTTCACAATAAAATGTCTTAGTGCGGTGATATTTAAATGCTTAGTTTTATTATCAAAGTGTAGTATTTTAAAAAACATTTAATGCAATGTAATACAATGATTGAGTGATAAAAGTTCCTCAAAATCCTGATGGATCATATTTGAGACTCACATCTTTTCTAACAAATAATGGATAATCAAGTGAAGTTGCTTCAGTCCAGTAAGTGTCCAACTAGAAATATCACTAATAATAAAAAAGATATTATTATGTTTATTGTATTATTACACTGTAAAAATGAATATGCTTTATCTAATCAATAAAATTTTGGCTACAGATTACAAGCAATATTATTTATTAAATTGAACGAATTATAATTGAGTAATAGTTAATCAAATTAAAATTCTAATTAATTCTAATTTGTAAAATTTAATTAATAATATTGCTTGTAATATGTTGCCACAATTTTATTGATTAGATAAAGCATATTATTTTTTTCAGTGTACGTGAACCAGTAGCTGAAGGGGACGTTTACCACTAAAAGGCCTTTTACTTGCTAAAAATGTATCGATCAGACGACAGAAGGCATGTAGTACATTGTGTGCAACAGGTTTGATCATTTGCAGGCTACAGTAATATGATATATGCAGAAAAGCATGTTCACAGACTCACCGTTCCTCCGTCTCTCTGCAGGGTCTTCGGGTTCGTATAGTTTGCCAGGTTCGGGAGACATGTTTATGAGCATGTCCAGTCTGAACGGGTCATACCAGCCGGCCCAGGTCCCGTCCCAGCACAAGACACAGTATCACACACACCAACACAGAGAGCACAATATATACTGTAACGCAGTGGTGGAATGTAACGAA